GACACTGTTTCAAAAATAGCAAGACATTGAAAAAAAAAAGAAATAAAAGTTCCAGCCAACCCTGGGCAACTTAGGGGGAACCAGTCTCTAAATAAAAAATAAATAAAGGACTGCCCATGTAGCTCAGTGCAAAGGACCTAGGTTCAACCCCTAGTACTACGACTCTTACTATTACTAATAATAATAGCAACAAAATAAAAATAAAACCAAAAAGGCTGGAGATGTAGCTTAGTGATAAAGTACTTCTGGGTTCAATCTATAGTACAGCAAACAACATAAACATGCATTTTTTCCATTCTATCAATAAGGAAAATAAGATTCAATATCATGCTACAGATCACTGGGGTTGGATTAAAAGCACACTCTCTTTAAAACACTCTAGGGTGTTTTTGGAAACTGAGAAGAGGAAAACACTGCAATCCTAGTATTATTTATGACCATTTTTATTATGCTTAGCTATGCTTTGTGCATTCATCCTTTTCCATATTTCATTTTACTTCTTTATTATTATAGATTTTCAGAAGTAGTCAAGAAATATGAGTAATTTTATCAAAGATCATTCTTTTTCATTATCATGCTGCCTCCCTCCATCCTACCACCAGATTTGAGAGCAAGCAACTTCTCTTCTACCACAGGGGGAAAGTAACTCATCATAAAAATAAAAGCATACTGGGTGTGGTGGTGCACAATTTTGATCCCAGCACTCGGGAGGCTGAGGCAGAAGAATCGCTGGGAGATCAAGGCTAGCTCAGGCTACATAGTGAGTTCAGGGCCAGCCTGAACTACAAAGTGAGACCCTGTCTCAAATCAATCAATCAATCAATTAATCAGTCAGTCGATCAATCAGTCACTTCAAAAGAAAGCTTCTGTGGCTTTACAGACAGCATAGGCTTTGGAGTCAGGCCAGGGAATCCAAATTCAGCTTCTCAGAGCTATGCTTCTTTGGGCAGAGCTCAATCTCTCTTGCTTAGCTTGAATTTCCTCATCTTTAAAAAAAAGTTAATACTTACTTTGAAGTGTTAATCTGAAGATTATAGATAACGAATGTATACCGTGGTGCCTGGCATATAGAAGGCATTCAACAAATATTAGAGAAGTTCATGTTCCAATGAAAACCTTATTAAAGGTATAAATAATGAAGTAATTAAAGTAGCATTCCACTTAACAAGAGACAACAGTAAGGTACCTGAGTGATTTTTAATAGTATTCATTTAGGGGATATAGTTTTTCATTACTTTTTGTGGCACTGGAGATCCAACTCAGGGCCTTGTACATATAGGCAAATGTTCTATCAGAGGTACATCTCCATCCTGAGGCTTTTTAAAATTGTGTTTGTTTTACTACTGGGGATTGAACACAGGGGTGCATTTATGCACCATTATCTCCTTTGGCTTTTTTATCTTATTTTGAGACAGGAGCCCTTAAGTTGGCCAGGCTAACCTGGAACTTGTGATCTCCCTGCTATAGCGTCCCAAGTAGCTAGGATTGTTGTAGTTGTCTCAAAAACAAAAGGGGCTGGGGATTTAGCTTAGTGGTAGAACACTTACCAGTATGTGTAACATCCTGGGTTCAATTGCTAGTAACACACACACACACACACACACACACACACACACACACAGGTAAGCAAACAATGAAAATATGATGTGCTAAATTTGTGTCAAGTCACCTGGGAAACCTAGAAGTTTGGATGAGGAACAAGGAACTATTTAATGTAAGACACAGATGGTGTTACTGCAACACTGGGAGGCTGAGGCATGAAAATCATAAGCTTTAGCCCTCCCTGGGCAATTCAGTAACTTAGCTAGACCTTGTCTCAACATTTTATTTTATTTTATTTTTGAGACAAGGTCTCACTGTGTAGTTCAGGCTGGGCTTGAACTCACTACGTAGCCGAGGCTGACCTTGAACTTGCAGTGATCCTCTTGCCTCTCAGCCTCCCGAGTGCTGGGATAACAGGCATACCTGGCATTAACATTTTAAAAAGGGCTGGGAATATAGCTCAGTGGAAAGGCCCTGGGTTCAATCCCTAGTACTGAAAAAAGAAAAAAAAACCAAAAAAACTAAGACAAGACCTGAAGAGTAAGAACCCTCAGGTAAGGGGGTCGTAAGAGAAGAAAGATATTCTAGCAGAAGTCCTGCATATGCAGACATTTGCAAGAGTATAGAAAGATCAAGGAAGTCAGATAGTTCAGGATAAGTAATGCAGGAAGAATCTCAGACCACAAACAAATTAGAGAAACCAGTTTAATACTGTAAAAAATCAGTTAAAGGGTTTTCAGAGTTCATATTGGCACTTCAGGCAACATTACAAAGGATGGATTAGAGAACAATCTGTTAATCAGTTACTGCAATATATTTGCCAAGAGAAATGCACATCTGAATAGTGGGCATGAAAAGATGGGAAGCAGAATATGATTTCTTTAAAAAAATTGTTTTAATTGAGATAAAAGTCACATAACATAAAATCCACCACATTCATGATTTTAAAATATACAATTAATTGTATAATGGATGTTGGGAAATGGGAAGAAAGTGTTCAAATGGGAAGGGGAACTGGGAGGAGGGAGGGAGGAAGGAAGGGACAAGAAAAAAGTGAATATAGAAGGAAAATTGGAAACAAAGCTTTTGTACATAGGCAGGGGAGTGGGCTTGAAGCGGGGAATGGGATAAAATAAAATTAAATTAAAAAAATATACATATACAACTCAGGCAGGAGTGGTGGTACATATCTATAATCCTAGCTACTAAGGAGCAAATAGCAAGAGGATGGCAAGTTAGAGACCAGCATGGGCAATCTGGTGAGACTCTATCTCAAAACAAAATATAAAAAAATGGTTGGGATGGCCGGGGATTTAGCTCAGTGCTTCCACTGCCTGCCTCACAAGCATAGGGTCCCATGTTTGATATCTGGTGCCAAAAAAACAAGTTGGGAATGTAGCTCATTGTAGAGTACCTCTGGGTTCAATCCCCAATACTGCAAAAAACAAAAACAACAAGAAGAAATAACTCAGGGCCCGGAATGTAGCTCAGTTGATTTCAGGGCTTGCTTAGCATGTGTTAAGGCCCTGGGTTCAATTGCCAGTACCACAATCACCACCACCACCCATATCCCCCCACACACACACACACACACACACACACACACACACACACACACACACCCTGGGTTCAATTGCCAGTACCACAATCACCACCACCACCCATACATACATACACACACACACACACACACACACAATTCAGCATTGCCTTCTTTTAAAAGAATTATCGATTTCCTGCTAGGCACTTTTGCTTCCAAATCAGTTAAAAAGTGATTGAATAAACATATTTCACTGGCAAACAGCTTAAAAAAAACCTTTTCATCTGGCAAGCATGGTGGTACAACCCTGTAATCTCAGCATTCAGGATGCTGAGGCAGAAAGATTATGAGTTCAAAGTCAGCCTTAGCTACATAACAAAACCATGTCTCAAAACAAACACATCTTTTTATTTAAAAGGAATAATGGTCATTGTAGAAGTAGAGACAATACCACCAGTATATAAGGTAAAAATCAAAAGCATTTCCCCCTCAACACTACCAACTGTCCAGAGATAGCTAATGTTAGGGACTGCTGTGTATCCTTACAGAGGTTTGTATATACATATACACATAATTATATATGTGGGCTTTTATTATAATTTTTGTGATGTCGGGGATTGAACTCAAGGTCTTCACTGTGAGCTACACTCCCAGCCCTTTTTATTATTACTATTATTATTTTAAATCATGAGACAAGGTTTCACTAAATTGCCCCAACTGGGCTCCAACTTGCAATCCTCCTGCCTCAGCCTTCAAGAGTGATGGGATGAAAGGTGTGTGCCATCATGGGTTTAAAAAAGTAAGTTTTCTAGAGTATAAAATCATGTACTGCTCTGCATCTTGTTTTTTATATAAAAATGGTTTAACACTCTTCCCAAAAAGAACATCAATTTCTAGTCCAGTGTTCACCATACCTTTAATAATTGTGTATTTTTATTTTTTTGCCAATTTAAGTAATTTATTGTTTCGATTTGTTTAGTTTTTCTTCTTATGAAATAGTTCAAATAAGAAGAAACATAAAAAGATAGCTTTTTAATTCAGCTCTAGTTAAGCATGCAAAACGTTTAGCTTATTTTACAAGTGTGCATACAGGAGTTTTGTACTAGAGGAAGCACAGCATGTACAGAAAATAGCATTAGAATGACTGACCTGGGGCTTTAGTCCTGTTGCAAGTTAAATGCGTAAACTCAGGGCTGTTTTTTGTTCTCTATAAAGTTGGAGGGTATAAATAGCGCTACTAACCTTTTGAAAGCATTAAAAGTATATGACTCTAGGTCACAAATATTTAAAAACACAATGTTAAAATTCATCTGTTTGGACTGCTTAACGTTGAGTAAAGGATAATATACCTCCACTTCCCAAAGTCTGTAATTTCCATTAGGAGGGATCTTGGCTGCGTTCATTTATGTGCATCAAGCGCCTAAAACTGTGCCCAGCATGCTTGAAATTTGGTGAATGACTACTTGCAGAGTGTAATAAACCTGGAATGATTTTACTGTGGTCTAATTGTCACACTCCTTATGAGAAAATGCTAGAAAACAGGCACCTCTTATACGTCTTAGAGGGAATTACATTTGCCAAAAGGAGAAAGACTCTCTCATGTTGATTCTACTCTCTGGATCTAAAATCAAACTCCCCATCCCAAACATCTAATGGAGCCCAAACTCAAAGAAGCGACAAAACTTGTAGCTATGTACATTCCCAGGCCTCTACAACCTTTTCCACCTCAATCTGACTGCATCCTCAGAAGACGAGGAGTTACAGCTCCTCCTCTTGAGAGGCCAGTAACTCGGAAAATACATGAATTAAAGACGCCAAAAGCATAGAAACTGGCGGGGAAAAGGCAGAGCGTGAATAGACTCTTTTAAATCTCATACATCGGGAAAAGCCCCTGTTGCTGGGAACCGCAAATCCTTACCTCCTTCTTTCTTTGGGCAGAGGCAGAGGGAACCTGGTAAATGAGCAGCAGCGCCATCGCCACGGTCGCAGAAGCACACCAAAGCCGCCTACCAGCTGCCATGTTCGCTCCTCTAGCTTCTCTAAGCGAAACTTTCCTCCAGCAGCATCGGAGGGTGGGGCGTGAGAACTGGCAAACCAACCCCTTCACTTTCCTTATTGGTTCTGCTCAGCCCAGCCAGCGGACCCCTCACCTTACGTCAGAGAGCGCTACTGCCTGACGCCGGCTAACGGACAGTTCGCTTCTAATTGGTTCTCGTTAGCCAATAGAAAAAGGATAATCTGGAGGTTTTTCATTGGTCTGCTAAAAATAATGGGCCTCCCCTTTCTTTACGCGTAAAGATGTGTTCCGCAGCTCTTTAATCTCGCATGCGCAGTAGTGAGCTGTTGCGGCTCTTTTAGTTCAAAATGGCTTGACGTTACCAAAACGGAATCTTTCTCCCAGAGACTCACGTACAAGTTTTGATAGCCACTTTTTTTCCCCCTTATGATTCTAGGGATTGAATCCAGAACTTCGCAACTAGTCCCCATTTTTAGTTTTTTATTTCAAGATAGGTCTCGCAAAATCATTAAATTAGCCAAGGCAGTAACTCGTCATTTTTCTGCCTCAGTCTTCCAGGGTGCAGGGATTACAGACGTGCACCTCCGTGCCCAGCTGATATCCACCTTTGTCTTTTTTGTTTTTTGAGACAAGTCTCCCTCTAGTTCAGGCTGGCCTTGAACTCGCTATGTAGCCCAGGCTGGCCTCAAATTTAAGGTGATCTTCCTGCCTTAGCCTCCGGAGGGCTGGGATTATAGATGTACACCATCATACCTGGTTTGTACCAGCAATTACCCGCAAGACTTGCCTCTGCTATACAGTCATCATCAGGGTAATAACACCTGGCCTGACCACTTCTTGACATTCACTTGTTTCCTGTAATATACTATAAGAATGGGACCTAGACATGTGAGAGGAATTTTGTCCCTCATTCTGCCACCAAAGTATGTCAAATCAAAATGAAATACGAGCCGGGCATAGTGGCGCAAGACTGTCTCAAATAAAAAAACAAAAGCAAAAACAAACAAACAAACAAAAAAACAACGAAAGTAGGAAAGCAAAAATATGCTGAATAATGTCACTGAGGGAAAAATTTGAAAAGTCAATACTAGCTAGAATTTGTAGAATACCTTTTGTGTTCCAGGAACAATACCAGGAGCTTTGAAAAAAAGAGGACTCAAATATTACTTAAAACGATTTTTTAAAACCGATCTTGGACTATAGCTCAATGGTAGAGCACCTGTCTACTTATCATGTGTGAGGCCCTGGGTTCACTCCCTAGTACCACAAAAAAAATGGGGGGGGGGGTAACTGGGCCTAGTGGCACATGCCTGGGAGACAGAAGAATTGCAAATTCAGGCCAAGCCTCAGCAATTTACCAATCTAGTGAGAGCCCTGTCTCAAAAATTAAAAAATAGCAGAAAGTGGTGGAGAAAAAACACAAGATGATCTGAGATTTGAGGGGAAATGGCCAGCCTGCAGAGATGGATTTAGAAGGCTGCATAATTTTTGCCTTGCATCTCTTCTCTTTGGAGTCCTTTCCCCACGAACACACACACACACACACACACACATGATTTCATATAAAAGAAAAGAAAGACACAGGAATTAGCTTAAGCGTATCCTGCTGATAATACCTTGGGTTAATCTTCATTAAAATAAATGATGACAAAGGTCCCGAGTTTGATTCCCAGTACTCCCCCAAAAGAAAAGAAAAGAAAAAAAGATTACAGTAATGGATTATAACTTATTAAATACATGAATCTATGCTGAAAATGAAATAGTAAACAGGAGAAAATAAAATACCTTCTTACACTAAAATAACTACTATTCTATGTGAAAGAAATGGTAGGGATTAGAATGTCACTTTTTACAACGTTCATACCAATTACTGACTCAGACAAAAATCATCAATGAACACATAATTTAGTGGGTTAAAGTTTGATAAAGAACAGGATATGGAGGGCTGGGAATGTTGTTCAGCGACACCATGCTTGCATGGCAAGCACAAAGTCCTGAGTTCCATTCCCAGTACGGGGGGGGGGTAAGGGTGTGGCTAAGTGGTAGAATGCTTTCCATAGTATGCATGAGGCCCTGCGTTCTATTTCAAGCACTGCAAAGCAAAACAACACAAAAACAAAAACAAAAAAACAAGGTCGTCACATAATCTGGATGTATTCTTTACAAGTCATTTATGTATTACAAAAGGAAAAGCAGTAACTTTATAGTTCAGGACTCAAAAGTGTTAAGGCCAGGGCCAGCGATTTAGCCCAGTGGTTCTGCCACCTGCCTCACAAGCACTGGATGCTGAATTCAGTTCCCTATACCAAAGAGTATAATACCAGTAGTTAGAAATTAACAGGCCTGAGAGGCAAAGGGGGTCCGAATAGCATGCTTTGCCAGTCATATTTAAGTGAAGAAACAAAGACCTCAGTGTATAATACATCTGTAACCATTTAATAGACCTCAGACTGAAAGACACAGGGTCCCCATTTTGAGAAGAAGGCATATGGCATTCCTGGTTGCCATAACCTATGGCCCACTGATTCCAGAAAAGGGAACATTGATTTAGATTAAAACTTATCTTTTATAGATTTCTTTCCAAAATTTCTTACATAAATAAGGCCCCTGAGGAAACACTGATCATCTGAATAGAACAAAGATATTTGGCAATTGCAAAGCAACCTCTAAGAAAAATGTTGATGAACATCATAATCACCATAGTCCTTGAACACCTGGAGTAATTTGTGTGCACAAAAAGATTTCCAAACTCCTATTGGGTTCAGATGCCTATGATATATAGCAAGCCTTCTCTGAAAGTATAAGTCTCTCTATATCTGCTTTTCAATAAGCCCTAACTATACTTCTGCACAGCTGCAGACATGTCTTGACTAAGGCACAAAGAACAGAGGAGCTGGGGGTGAGGGGTGATTCCTTGTAGTGTCAGGACCTGGCTTCCTGATGACAAGAGGGCACTACTTTCATCAGATGATTAAAGTTGGCATTACCAATAATGAGACAAGCCAAGATCATACACCTCTTGATAAGATGCCCTATGAAAGCATATCAGTTATGTAGTATTCCTGCCAGAAGTATATAAACTGAAAGTAATTGTGAGGAAACATCATAGATTCACAAATCTAGGGAACCTTTGTAAAATAAATAGTCTGTGCTCTTCAAAAATATTACAGCCAGGAGTGGTGGCACACACCTGTAATCCCATCACTCTGGAGGTTGAGGCAGGAGGATCTCCATAAATTCGAGGCCAGCCTAAGCTACACAGTGAGTTTGAGGACAGCCTGAACTGAATAGCAAGATGCTATCTTAAAATAAAGATTAAAAAAAAATTACACAGCACAGACCTGTGGAATCAGGCAATCATCACTTCTACCATTTATGATTGTCTGCTCTTGGTCTGATTTGACCTTGACCTGCATCATTTAAGGATCCTGCACCTCGCTTCCTTCACATGTAAAATTGAGAGTATAAAATTTACTTTAAGTGCGAAAAAATAACACTATAAAAGACAATAAAACGGGGGCCAGGGATTTAGCTCAGTGGCACTGAACTTGCCTAGCAAGCACAAGGCAGACTCCTGGTATTGGGAATAAAAATAAAAATAAAAGACAAAGAAAGGCTAAGGAACTATTATATTTTAAAAGAGAGAAATGATATGTGATAAGGACTTCCAGGAAGATGGCAGAGTGGTGAACAGCAGGGAAACAGCCTTTCTGAGATTTGGTGTCCAGACTCTGGAATATAGCAAAGTGAGAAAAAGAAGAAGGAAGGAAGTGGATCCATGGGACCTAACAAGGATCTGAACTGAGAACCAAGTGAGAGACTTCAGTGAAGAAGAAGGAGGTGGCAAGCAGCACTTTCTCCCTGAGCCTTGACGCACTTAGTGAAAAGGGGGACTCCAATACGCAGATGCACTGTGACTACTGGTGATCTCAAAGGCCACCACAGAAAAACCCACCAGTAGAATGGAGCAGTGGATGCAGTGGTTGGTGAGTTATTCGGGTGCAGATGTACCCCAGGAGAGGGCAACTGGATGGTAGCCACCTTGGAGAGGGGACAGTTGAGCCTGGAACTTAGAGCAGCTGTGGGCTAGCACCACAAGCTTCTAGCAAAAGAAGAGCAAGTCAAGCCCAGAACTCGTGTGAGGGAGGAAATTATAAAAATCAGAAGAAAAATTAATGCAATAGAGACTAAGAAAACAATACAAAGAATCAATGAATCAAACAGTTGTTTTTTTGAAAAAATAAATAAAATGGACAAACCATTAGTCAACTTTATAAAAGGATCAAATCCATATACTTAAGAAGGAGAAGGCTGAAATAACAGATTTTCCAGGAATCCAGAAGAGAATCTGTATTTTGAGAACTTTGAGAACATGTATTCTAATAAGATCGAAAACACAGAAGAAATGGACAGATTCCTAGATAAATATGGATTACCAAAACTGAATCAAGAATATATAAAACTTCTAATTAAATGAATATCAGTCAAAGAAACTGAAGATGTAATTAAAACCTACCAACAAAGAAAAGCCCAAGCCTTGATGGATTCACTGTTGAATTCCACAAGAAATTCAGGGGAGACCTAATGTCACTACTCTTCAAACTCTTTGAAATTAAAAGGGAAGCAATATTCCCAAATTCACTCCTAGAAGCAAGCATTACCCTGATACCAAAACCAGAGAAGGATCCAATCAAAAAAGACAATAACAGGCGAATTTCCCAAATGAACATAGATGAAAAATTTCTCAATAATATACTGGCAAACAGAATGCAGCAAACTATCAAGAATATAAGCCAGGCATGGTGGTGCACGCCTGTAATCCCAGCACTCGGGAGGCTGAGGCAGGAAGATCGCTGTGAGTTAGAGACCAGCCTGGGCTACATAGTGAGTTCCAGTTCAGTCTCAACTACATGTTGTAACCCTGTCTCAAAAAACCAAAAAAAAATTTATCAAGAATATTATACACCATGACCAAGAAGGATTCACGCCAAGGATGCAGGCATGGTTCAACATACGCAAATCAATATATTTAATACAACACAGACAAGGACAAAAATGATATGATCATCTCAATAAATGAAGAAGCATTTGACAAAGTGCAACACCAGTTCATGATAAAACCCAGAGAAAA